AAAACCACACGTGCACCCTCCTCTGGGAATAGGAATATCGATTCTTCAGCTTCTTGCAGGCTCCAGACGAAAAACCTCAACCTGACATGAGGCTGGAGGCCCTCAGGTCCTGGAGGCCCATGACCAGCCGTGGGAAAGCCGCCCATCCTTGCCTTTAGGATGCCCTAGGCCCCGGGGCGCCCTCCCAGGCCTGAGGGCCCGGGCGCATCCCTTAAAGACACAGGTCACCAGTTCTAGAGGCAGATCTCGAGCCTGGAGGCCTGAGAGAACAGCAGCAGGGAGGTGGGGGAGCAGCTGGAAGGTGCTAGAAGGGAAGGAGGAGACCCCACCCACTGACGGCAGGACGCTGGCAGGCAGGGTCCGTGCCACATGCTGTCCGCTTCGACTCCCAGAACTCCAGCTGCCCCTTGGACAGTCCCCTAGCCAGGAGAACCTGGTTCCCGGCCCCCCAGGCCCCACCTGTTCAGGGAGCACGACACCCGAGTCTGTAAGGACGGATCCCCGGCAGCCCCCTCGGGTCCGACGGAAACGCCAGGACTAGAGGATCCGGCCCAGGTTTCCATGAGCCGCTCCACCCCTACCCTGTGCATCACACTAGAGCCGGGGGGGGCGGGGGGAGGATGGCACCGAGGCCGCTCAAGACAGAGTCTCTGCTGCCCACGCCCATGCCAGGCAGGCCTGGCCACGATCGCCTGCACACCTGGGAGGGGCCGGAGGCAGACACGGGGCATGAGGACCCGGCTGGGGGCAGCCCTGGGCCGAGGAAGGCCCCTCAGAGGGCAGAGCCAGAGCAGCAAGGTCACCGCTGGGAGGCCTGCGTGTGCCTCTCACGTCGGATGCCTCATCATTCCCTTCCACAGACTGAGGTTTGAGCTTCCACTGCCAACTTCCTGGGCCCACTGCGCAGAGGTGCCCAGCCCCTGGCAGGGCAGCTGAGTGCCAGAGCACTCCCCACCCAGCAGCTGTGGGGCACTGGGCAGGTCCCCGTATGGGGACGGGCATGACCCTGGGTTCTGAGGTTAAGGGGCCTGGTCTGGGCTAAGTGACGGGAGGCCGCCATTGGCCTGGAGACGTCCCCCACAGTCAAGAGAGGGGGGAGGGAGGTGGCCTGCCCGCCTCTCGTCACCCCAAGGAGCTGGCATCCCACGTGGATGGGCACAGCCTGAGCGAGCCGCACGGCCCAAGGCATCCTGGTGGGTGGGGCCCATCGGGCTGTGCCATCAGGGCCTGATGCTAATGTCACTCGGAGCTGGCCCTGCCCACCAGGGGCCACACCCTCTCCCATTAATTCTCACCACTGGCATCTAAAGCAATTCTGTTATCTCAGTCGGGGAAACTGAGGCAAGGTCATCCCAATGGAGAGGGTCAGCTCTGAAGACCAAAGCATGAGCCCGCAGGGCCCACCAGACACCCCGCATGCCCCCGCCCGCCTCCTCCCGGGCGCTGGCCGGGCTGCCCTCCCACCTCCGAGGCGCCAGGAGCCGGCAGCGCCCACCTGTGCAGCGGAGGAGGCTCTGCGCACAGACCCGCTCATTCCACGCGTGACTCGGTCTCTCCTTGGGCACACCAGTGTGACTAAGAACCCAGGGTGAGACTCGCCACAGACGAGGGGGAACGCATCTTAAAATGGGCTCCCTCCCTTCTCAGGGGTTATTTAGCCTGGACAGCTGGCCAGAAGAGGCCCCCCATAAAGGTGGGGCACAGGGGGGGCAGCAGCCAAGGGTCCCCCCAAACCCTCAACCCCGGGAGGGATGTGAGCCCTGGCAGCTCTGCACATCGTGGTGGTGGCCGGCCACCAGGCCTCCCCACCCCCACCCCCCCACCCCGGAAAAGCTGCGGCAGGTTGTTGGAGAGACGGGGACCCAGATGTGTGGCGCCGCCTCCCTCCAACGGGAGAGTCACAGGGAGGTGCAGAGACCCAGACAGACACACGTCACCCACCATTAACCGCAGCGAGACTGACGCATGCTCGGTCGAGGCACTCGGGAAGAGGAGCTGTCATTCATCTGCTGGGGCATCCAGACCCCCAGGCTCCTCTCTGCCCCCACCCATGCCCACCCACACCCAGAGGAAGGCAGGCGCTGGCTGGCACCATCCCTGGGGTGGAGCAGGGCCAAGCAGGCAGCTCAGCCGGGTGCGTCCCCCAGCTCTCAGCTGGGACCCCGGGGAGAAGGCCAGAGAGACCCAGGCGACAGGGACAGGGGTCCAACAGAGGCAACAAGAGAGGCGGGCAGGGCAGGGTGGGCAGAGAGATGAAAGGGACCAGCAAAAAAAGTGCAGGGTGGCGAGAAAAGAGAGAGGCCCGAAGGAGGAGGCAGGGAGGGCAGGAGGCCGACAGGCCCGGGGAGGAAGGAGAGAAGGAGAGAAGCAGCCAGGTCGCCCACAGCCAGCAGCGCCGTTCACACCGCTCGCGCCACCTGCCACCACGCTGGGCTGAGCATAACGGAACGGGAGGAAGCCGTGACGCGTGTGTGTGCCGATTCCGCCTCGGCCACCCCACTCCCAGCCTCACGCGTGCAGGGGTGTACACGCGTGCAGGGGTGTACACGCATGCACTCATGCCCATGTGGCCGCCTCCTTGTTGGAAACCCTGATCCAGGTCCAAGTGGGGTGACAGAGCCCCCTCAAAACCAGAGCCCTGTCCCCTCTCCAGCGCTGACGCCTCTGCCCTCCCCATCGGCGGCAGCCTCGGTCCGCTTCGCCCGGTGGGCACAGAGCCACGCCGCCTGCCGGAGCGAGGACGGACATAACGGCCACCAGACCCAAGCCCGCACTTGCTCAAAGCCCAGCAGCTTGAGAAGCTGGGCCGTCGCACCGCCAGACACTAATGAGGACGTGACTTCCCATCTGGGGCCTCTCCACTGAGGGTCGTCGCCCAGGGCCATGAGGCTGCGTCCCACCTCCCACCTCAGAGAGCCACCTGTGTCATCTCATCCCGGCCTGGCCACGCTGACCCTGGAGAGTTTGGGACGGCCACCCCCACACCCCAACCTCCAGCAGCCTCAGCCCTATGCCAGTTCAACGAGAGCCCCAACTCCACCCAGCCATTGTGGCCACGACGAATGGGGGCGGGGGTGGGAGGGCCTCTTTCCCTCCCTCCCTTCCCTCCCCTCCCTCCCTCCAAGGATCCATGGGCATCACATCGGCAGGACCAGGGCAGCTGAAGGGCGCTGGCTGTCACGGTCAACCCTGAGTGTCGTCACACCGTCAGTCACCTCCCCCTGGACCCTCAGAGCCGCACAGCCCTCACCCTACCCCCACCTCATCCTCTAATTATGGTTCCCAAGACGTGTCCCAAACCCTCAAATTAGCTCCGACGCCATCGCCAAGGGAAGAGCGTCCAGCTGCCATCACCCCCGCCTCCCCGTCTCCTTGCTGGGGACCGAGGGACAGGTGTCCGCTCCTGCCAGGGGCTCACACTGTCCTTCCCAGGGAGACCCCTGCAGGCCCCGCAGCCAGCTGACCCGCTGCAGGCTGGAGGGAGAGGGAGCGAGGGGGGAAGAGGTGGAAAGAGGCGTCTGTGTGAACCTTCACGGGAGGATCTATGGAACCGCTAGGGCTCGGCTTTGAGGGGAAAAGAACAACAGGAAAATCACGCTTTCGCTCTTTTTCCCAACATCGTGGCTTAAGTCCATTTCCCTCCCAGCAAAGAAAAGGCAAAAACGCACCCCACAGCCCTGAACTTCCGTGCCATTCTCTTCTCCCTGCACACCCCCCCCCCCCGCCCCTCACACACGAAAAATCCAGACAGTTGACAGAGGACACGTCCGTGCGGCACCTGTAATTTGCCGACCGATCACCCGCCTGAGCACAGCCAGGCTGAGCCAGGAGAGCGGGCGGGAGGAAGAGGGGCTGGAGCAGCGCCTTCCTCTCGCGCCCCTCGCCTTCCTCCTGCGCCCTTGTCTGGGAGACCCGGGAGCTGGCCGCCGCAGGTTCTAAGCAGAACCCCTCCTCCGTGGGACTGGTCTCAGAGGCACAGCCAGCCTCTCCCCTTCCCTGAGGCCAGACCCTTCCCCTACCAGCCGGGCTGCTCATTTTCCAGGTCCTCGGGCTCCTGGTGAAGGAGAGACCAGGACAGGTGGCTCCCGGGGGAGGAGCAGAGACAGATAACAGGCAGCAAGGTGGTTGCTGTGACCCGGAGCCAATAGGGGCAGGGCTGTCTGGGCACTGACACAGGCTGGGGCATGGTGCCCACAGAAACAGCTGCTGCCCTGAAGGCCACACGCCCTGAATGCCCACTCCCAGCCCAGGCACATCTGGCCCGGGCTCACCCGGAGGGAGAAAGCCAGAGTTTGCGTCTCCTGGGGGGGGGGGGGGGGAGGGAAGGGGCGGGCGGAGAGGCTCAGAAGGGCCAGGGAAAGGACAGGAGCAATGAGGCCCAGGAGAGGCGGTTTTCCTGCTGGGGCAGCAGCCGGGCAGCAGGGGTCCTCCCCGCCATTCACCCTCTGCCCGCACCCGGGAACCTGCGCCTCCCCATTGGGCTCACCAGGGCACCCTTCCCCCAGGCGCAGTGGGGCGGCCAAGAACACGGGACCCTGAGCCACCACCAGGCGCCCACATTCTCTGCATCCGGCCTCCCCTCCCTCCAAGGAAAAGGCCACGGGAGGCAGGTGTGGGTGCCCCGCGCCGCTGGCCCGAGAGCGCCAGTTCCCACCCAGGGGGCAGGGCTCGCGCCGCCCCTCACCCAAGCGCAGGTCTCCCTTTCGCCGGGACGGCGGCAAGGGAACCGGCGGGCCAGCTCGGACCCCCACCCCACGCCAGGCGGGGCGCCCTGGCTCCGCTCCGCTCGGCGGGGTGCGGGGGGTGGGGCGGGGAGAAGGGGCACCGCGGGGAAGTTTCGCGACGCAGCCACCAGCGCCGGGACGCGGCCGCCCGCCCTCCGGGCTTGGGGCTGCCACCCCGGGCGCAGCGGGCAGCGGGCAGCGGACTCGGCGCCGCCGCGGCTGCGGGGCGCGGGGAGCGGGCGCGGGCGGGGGCGCGGGGCGGCCGAGGCCACTTACGTGTGCTGCTGCGGGAAGCTGTAGGCAGAGGCGCCGGGGGCGGCGAGCAGCGGCAGCAGCAGCAGCGGCGGCAGGAGCCGCAGCAGCCGGCGCGGGGGCCCGGACGCGGGGCGCGGGGCGCCGGGGCCGGGCTGGGGGCCGCGGCGGGGCCGGGACAGCGCGGTCCGCGCGGGGCCGGGCCGGGAGGCGCCGCAGGTCCGAGCCGGCACCGCCATGTTTCCATTCAAGACGCGGCGCCGCGGGGAGGGGGGCGCGGGCGGCGGGCGCTCTCGGCCTCTCCTCCGCCTCCTGGCGCGGGACCTCGGGCTGCACGGGCCGCGGCGCCTCTGCGGGCTGCCGGCTGCGCCGCGATGTCTCCGCCGCGCGGGCTCCCGGCGCTCTGAGCGCTCGCCCGGGACCGGCGCTCAAATAGCTGCGGCCGCCAACCCGCCGGCGCCGCCCTCCTCCCGCCGGCCCGCCCCCGCGCGCCCCCGCCGCGGCCACGCGCCCGCCGCCCGCGCGCCCCCGTCCCCGCCGCCCCGCTGCCCGCTGCCCGCGCGGCGCCTACGCGGCCTCCTGCGGGCTCGACCTTCCGCCGGCGGGAGGCCCGGAGGCCGTTCCTGCGGGAAGGGCAGCCTGCAGCCCGGACGCCGAGAGCGCAGCCGCTTCGGGGTCCTCGAGGGGAAACCGAGGCCGGCCCGGGGCAGAAGGAAGGGCCAGTCTCCTTGCTCCCTGCGCGGGCACCGGGTTCCACGCGCCGGCGAGGGGCTGAGAATGCGGGTGCAGCCTCTGCGGCCACTCGTCTCAGCTCCCTGGCTAAGCAGGCACTGCGCCCGCCGCCAGCCCCTGCGCCCGCCCCGGCCGGTGTTTCGGCCTCTGCCTCGCTCTGCCTCGCCTCGTCCAGCGCTGGCCGGAGGCCCCTGCACAGAGCCCTGTTGGCCTGGAGGCGCCTGTCCTTCGAAGGCGGGGAAGCTGCCGTCGATCCTTACTTTCCGGCCCGCGGGCCGCAGAGCCCAGCTCCCTCCTGGTGCCTGCCCGTGTGGGTTCCCACCCCCTTTTCCAGGCTGAAGTGAGAACAGGAGTGAACCCAAGCACTCATGGCTGGGGAGAGGGAGCACCCCCGAGGTCCCCGCAAAGGTGCCCCCCGGTGCAGAGAGGGTGGGAGAATGCTCCTTGCCAGCTGGGCACGGGGCCAGACCCTCTGAGCAGGAACTACCCACAGACTCTGCTTAACACGGGGAGTGAGGGACAGTGACCACCCCAATGCTCACCCACTCACAGGGGCCTCAAGAGGATTTGCAGTTGAGGAGACCAGCGGGGTGGCCCCTGGACTGAGGAGGGTGGGGGGGCAGGTCTCAGGACAGCCTCTACTTGCTCCCCTCCTACCTGGGCTGTTCCCTCCTCCTCTCCTGGCCTGATAAGTCTCAGGGGCCAGACTGGGGTTTGTCCTCAAGCCCCAAAGGACGAGGCCCCCAAAACATTATCAGAGGAAGGCAGCGCCCACGGCCCCACACTCCTGACAGGCCTGGGGGCTAGTGAACAGGAGGGGCTGCTGGATCCTGGGAGGCTGAGCCCGGCCGGCTCTGCGGGGGACAAGCGGGCCTCACTGAGCCAGATGCCTGACTGTGCCAGATGCTCCCGCCCACCTCTGGGCAGGGGGTCTCCCAGGCTGGACAGAATGTGGGGGGAAGTGTTCTGCATAGGAGAGTCAATAAGCTGGGTCAACCAGCTGCTTCCCAGCCCCACCCGCGGGTGCCGTCTCTCTCGACCAGGCTGCAGCATCCTCCCCCGGCTGTTTGCTGGGCAAATGCCCATGTCCATGGCCCCAGGGAACCAGCAAAAGGGCATCACCCCTCCTGTTGCCATCCGGGGTTAGGGAGGCACCTTTCCAAGGCAAACTCGGCCGTGGCAGGGTGAGGAGTGGCCGGGGCAGCCTCCCTGCCCTTTGACCCCGGGATGGCAGTGCTGCCCCCAAAGAGTCCGGGCGGGCGGAGGCGAGTAGGGGCGGAAATGGGGCGCTGTCGCTCCAGTCTCCACAGATGTGCACCTAATTGAGCCGCTGGTGCCGAGGGAGCGGCGGGAGATTTGGGTTGACAGGCCGTTAAAGGAAGACGAATAAGGCGGGGAGGCGATTAAGAGGGAACGGGGAGTAAGAGTTACACACGGCAACCCCAAGGCTCACAGCACCCTCAGTCTCCTGGCGGCGGCTCCAGCCCCCGGTGGGGGTCTTGGGGGGGTAAATCCAGGAGCCGGGGCCGTCCCTGGCAGAGGCACAATGACGTGTTTGGCACCAAAAGCCTGAGCTACCCACCTGGCCAGAGGTGCCCCGCTGGGAGGCGGGCAGCAGGCGCAGGAAAGCCTGTCCGTGGCAGGGGGCCTGGCGGGGCCAGTTCTGCATGTGGGCTCAGCAGCCCGGAAGAGACTGGGAGGTCTTTACGGTAAACCTACTATGTGTCCAGCAAGTCCTGGGCGTGGTTATGCCTCGTGCAGGAGGAGGAAGCCCATAGGGACACCCGGGGCAGCAAGGTCCCCACTTCAGCCCGGCCGGTGTGGCTCAGTGGTTGAGCCTCGACCTATGAAGCAGGAGGTCACGGTTTGATTCCCTGTCAGGGCACATGCCCAGGTGGCGAGCTCAATCCCCAGTAGGGGGCGTGCAGGAGGCAGCCGATCCATGATTCTCATCATTGATATTTCTATCTCCCTCTCCCTTCCTCCTTGAAATCAATAAATATATTAAAAAAATAAAGATTCCCTCTTCAGCCTGCTCACCTCCAGCCACCCTCCCTTCACCCTTTGCTGCTACACCAGCCAGTGGGCTGATCTCTCCATTCTCTTAGGGCTTTGCTACCACTTGAACCCAGGATACTATGGACCCATAGATACCACTTATTCCAGGAAGCTTTCCTGGACAGCCCCCTTCAGCTAGAAGGCCTCCCCATTCCGGTCCACACTCCCCTGCCTTGGCCCTAACCTACCTACGTGTGGCAGCCTCTGCCCTGGGTTCAGGAAATGCCTGCGCTCTGGACTCTTGTCAAGCTGGGGCCTGAGTCCCCTTGTCCCCACCCTCCCCTCAGGGCTCCCCCCACAGAGCCTGGGAGGCACAAGAAGTGTTGGCATAAGGACTTTCAAGTCCATCTCTGGAGCCCGAGGGTGTGCCCAGAATGGTGGTCTGGTCTAGACAGGAAAAGTGAGCTTAGGCCCCAGCTATCACAGGTGGCGAAGGCAGGCCCCACTGCCTCTCTGAGCCTGTTCCCTTGTCCACATAATGGGAGGCGTGGGACTCGCCTGGCAGGGGGTTCTGGAGACCAAGGCCTCGAAGGCCGGCCTTAGGACTCGCAAGGGCTTTGGGTAGGGGAACCACAGAGATTCAGGGAGCCGGAAGGCAGGTCCTCCACGCAGGCAAGCAGAGAAGGCCTCCCGGAAAAGGAGTAGGGATTCCAGGCTGGCCTCCGAGATGAGCAAGATCGGTGGGCATATCAGGAAGGGGAGGTGGGGGACTCTCCTGGACTGAGCACGGCCTGAGCCAGAACCCCCCTCCTGAGTCCCATGGGCCCAGCTCTGCCCTCATGGGGTCAGTAGAGGGGCCCCAGCTTTGGCAATTGTTCTTGTACAACAGGAGGCTGCCCCCGCCTCGCTGGCCCCCTCTGATGTGCCTATTCTCTGCCTCCCTTGGGCTGGACTCCGTGGTCCCAAGGGCCCCCAGCGGGACACGCTCCATGGATGGGCTGGCAGCCAGTGCTGCACCGGCCAGCGGCTAACTCAGCTCGCCCACTCGTTCCTTGGGGACCCCCGGGGATGCGAGGGTCCCACAGATTCCCCTGGCTGGGCATGGCGCAGAGGCAGCGTGGCCGCCAGGTGCAAGCAGACAGGGCCTTCTCCTCCCCGTGATGGTGCCCTTCCCACCAGGAACTGTGCTGGGGGCCTGGAGTTTCCGCAGAGAGGCCTGGTCCAACCTGCTCATACAGACGAGGAAATGGAGGCCCACCGAGGGCGGAGGGTGGTGAGCAGAGACTAGGCTCGCCTGGCTGGTGCGGCTCAGTGGTTGAGGGTTGACCTAGGAACCAGGAGGTCCCAGGTTCAATTGCCGATCAGGGCACATGCCCGGGTTGAGGGCTCGGTCCCCAGTGTGGGGCGTGCAGGAGGCAGCCAGTCAATGATTCTCCCTCATCATGGATGTTTCTGTCTCTCCCTTCCTCTCTGAAATCAATAAAATATAATTTAAAAACAACAACAAACAAACCACAAAAAGACTAGGCTCAGGGCTCAGGACTCAGGACTCAGGACTTGGTTCTGTCCTCTGGGCCCCCCCCCCAGGCACCGGGCCCTCTGAGTCCTCAGCACCCCTCTTGGGAGGATCCTGAGCTGAACACCAGCTGGGGGTCCCTTGGCGCCACCCCACGTCCCACACGTGGTGGTGTGAGGGGCACGCAGGCCCGGATGCTGGGTTCGCCCCGCCCGGAGGCCCTCGGCCCGTGGTGGCAAGAGAAGATGAGGACAAATAAAAGAGAGCATGTCCTCGGAGGAGCATTAGACGTCTGTTCAGCTTCTGAATAAATAAAAGTCTCCCGGAGCCGGGCGGGAGCTGACAGCGCGCTCACTCTCCGCAGACACACTGCCTGCCTCCAGGTGGAAGGAACGGTGTCAGCGTGGCTCAAAGTCAGGCGCTGCGAAGCCGCCTTCCATCACGCCTAACGCCCCATCAGCCAAACGGCCACCACGGCAAATTGCCTCCTCTGATCGCTGCCCCCGGAGAGAGGGGAGAGGAGAGGAGTAGCGGGCTCGGGCCAGTTCCCATCCCTGACTGTCTGGGGATCCAGCTGTCGGTAATTCTGGAAACAAGCTGTCCCTCTCTTGCTCATTTTGCAAATGAGGAAACTGAGGCACAGAGGGCTTTGGCGACTTGATTGAACCCAGCAGGCCAGCGACGTGACTCCTGGAGGAGGCCATTGCCTCACCGATGGGCATGATGTGGCCCCAGGGATCCAGGCCGGACCCGCAGATCCAGCCACTGGTCTCAGCTCCTGGAGCAGGAGGCTGGGAAACGCCCTGAGCAAAGGCGTCCTCTGCTAAAAGCCTCTTTGGCTTTTGCCGGTTGCCCCTTTGGTGGCTCAGCCCGGCGGCGCGGTTAGGGCTGGGCAGGCCAGGACTCGCCATCACTTCATCTAACCGATGGCCGGGCTCCTGCGAGGGGCAGTTAGCACTTCATTTGCGGAGCCCGGAAGACGGATGGGCCAGTTGCTCTTCTATTCCTGAGAGGCAGCTGCCAGGGGAGGCAGTGGCGGGCCAGGAGGAGAAGCGGCGGGCGTGGCTGGCCCCAGAGAGGCTGCCCGGGCCCGTGCTGGCACTCTGGGCCTCCCCGGGGTTCCAGGGCCCCGGGCAGGGAGGAGCGGGAGGCCTTCTGCCAAGAACCTGTCCGTTTTCCCATTGGTGCTGGGTCCGGGTCTCTATCTGCA